AGTCCCAATTCCGCCTATGGTCGTGAATATTCTATACCTAATCAATCGTTGTGTCCACATTTTAGAGAAGATGTCTTTTCTACATCGTCGTTGTGCCTATGCGTACAGCCCTATTTTACAGTTCACACACATATTAATTCTATATATTAGTAGTATAATAATTATTCTGTATAAGATCTCCTATAAGTCCCCCAAACTTAAAAAAGACTATCCAAGCCCTCCAAAAAAATTAATATCTACATAATTTCTAACAAAACTCTGGAGACTGGGGACATGAATTCCCCAGAACATTTTCCTATTTGCACCACCGTCATCAGTGTCATCATTTTAAGAGCATTATTATACATTTTAAAAATATTTGTATACATTTATATTTATAGTTTTTATTTGTTTAAAACGACAACGACATTTCAAAATTCCGAATACACCAAATTCTAAAAATAGAAGTTTTGAGTAAATTTTTACTTTTTAATGTTTCGTATACTATATAATAAATAATAATATTTTTTTTCTTCCTATTCTATGTAAATATTTATAAGTATATAATTGTATAAAACTCAAAGGTAATGGCCTATGCTGCCGAAGCTGTAAMGTTCAATAAAAAAAAAAAAAAAATAATGATAATATATTAATGAAGCTTGGTTTGACAACCTAAACTTACAAAGATCACACATAGTTCAATTTAATCGTTTACGTAGTATAGGGACATTCCTTATTACCTATAATCACTATTTTAAACTTGGACTAAACGACTCGCCGTTTTGTACACTTCACTTAAATAGTTAAATGAGTGTATCAGTGACCTCCCTCATATTTTATTAAACTGTCCTGCCCTGCGGCTTAAAAGACTTAATATTCCTCTCAATCATCTTTACTCTATTTTAAGCACCAAATCAGAAATAGCCATAAAAACGATGATCTGCATGTTTAAATTGGAGGATGGCTTTATACTATAGTATATAAAAATTAATCTATTGTTAAATTTGTATTGTTTTTGTTTTTTGTTTTGTAACTGTTGATTTATCATAGTTGTAAGCTAGTGGATTTAAAATAAAAATAATAAATGAAATAGGTAAAAATATTTTTAATTAGCAAATGTATTTTATTWTTTTATGTAGCATTAATTAAAATAAACAGTAGATTCWCGCCATTGACGGACTAATCATATCTTAGTCCAGTTAATCTGTAAAGTCCCTAAAGTCTAGTATCACCCTTAGTATCTCCATAAGAACACGGATTTTCAAGTTAAGTATGGAATTCTGATTGAATGGCGACAATTATGTAACAATTTTTGACTGTACCTCTTAATGGTTATTGGTTTTCAATTTTTATTTTWTTTAGTTATTAGGTACAAATTAATATTTACAGATGATGACTAAATACCCTCCTGATCTTAAATTATTAATTATCCATAAAAATAATAATTATGAAAACAGAGTTAAGTATTTAAAAACATTATAACTCCTCGGTCTTTGTATTGTCAGCCTAACTTGGAATAATTATTGAATATAATTAAACTTTATAATAAATACCTTTCAAAAAGTTTTTTAATCTTAATACAAACCAAACATTAATGCATAACTATTAATTATTTATAACAAAAACAACGTAATATATTTATATTATTATACAATGTGTGTAAATCATGATTATCAATTCATCAGTGTGAACTGGTAAAACGGTTTAATACTCATTTATCTTAAAACTAATTAATAATAACAGGCTTTTCATTTCATTTATTGAACAACTCTTAAAATATTAATTAAATTAACAAAAAATCAATTAATCACTACCTACACAAAATCTTATAAATCATAATGGGTAAAATTAAATAATATGTCTTTAACATATACAAGATTATGTATACAAATCATATTTCAAACATTGTAATTAAATGTAATTTCATACCACATAATAAACTAATAACACACAAAAATTATATTTTTAAGGCAAGTTGATCTCTAATCTATATTATATACTGTATAATATATTAGGTTTTAACATCCACATTTAAAAATTTTATTTCTAACTTWTACTTTTAGGTACCTACATTAACTTGTATGTTAATATAAATTAATATAAAAATACCATTTATAACATAATAAATAAATATTTTAAGGTAAGATTATATAAACCAATACAATTTATTATTGACAATTTCTATAGGAAAATAAAATTATTTACCTAATTCATTTTGTTTGAAAACTGAAGTTCAGTAACACTGATTTTACCCATGTGTCTAATTACTTTATATCGAGCTAAATCTTTACGTGTGACAATACCAGCAACCTATAATTTGAGTTAAAATATACTATCAAACTACTGATTATCTGGAGTGTTCTGTGAGGATTATTTACCCGTGGTGATATATTTTAAATTCTCCAATAAAGGTATTATTACAGTAATACAACTTTTGTGTTAAGTTTTTATCACTATATTATATATTATTACCAGTTACCTACTATTTTTTTCTTTTGTAAATACTATTATGCATATTTCTTTATTATATAAGTTTTATTTTGTTTATTATCTGTTGGGGTAAGTATAAATTGGGTTGATATCTATTTTGTTCAAAAGAATAAATTATTATTATTACAGGATATTGAACTACTGCAGAATGACCTTAAACTAACAATTGATTTATCGCGATTCATGAATCCATCTCCATATATTGTCCAACTTGTAAATATAACAAATTTCCATAATATTTTTTTTTATTCTTTGTAGTTTATAGGCAATAATATTTTATATATATTATTATTATTTCTATTATATTTTATAATATATTATATAATATATTATGCCTTATATATTACATAATAATATATACATGATAAATATACCATTTATTTATAATCTGGTATATCTATAAAAATTCATAAATATAATGTGTATTTGAATTTTTAATTGCAATTAACGAATTTCTAATTTTTAGAATTAAACAAAGTTTTATTTTGATATTTTTTTTATTGATCTTTGTAGCTTCGGCRGCATGGGCCATTAGCTTTATACTTAAATTTACRATTATTTTTATATTGTCCTTACTTATATTATGCTTTTATATTTTAGAGTTAATATATATTTGTATTTTTTTCATTCTTAGACAATGTCATTGCCACGTATTTTTAAACTATTCAGAGCTATGGGACTTCGACATATAGTTGTTGTGAATGATTCAAACGAAGTAATTATTCACTCTTTACTTATTAATTATTATTATTATACTGGGTGTCCCGTGCGGATATACGCATTAGCCGTAAAGGAGGACTCGCCGCCCGGATAAAAACCAGTTTTTGCTGTTTTATCTATAAACTAAAAAAATTATAAAAATTTATGACTTTGGTTAATGAAAATAAAATATTGAAAGGTCAAAACTTTCAGCAAAATAAACTCTGTAAGATAGGTGTCTTTATTTTTTTCAAAAATTAAACTAAATTAAGAAATAAAATACAAGCCCTTGGTCTATGGGAGTCTAAAAAAAAAAAAACAGATTTGTTATATATTCATTATATCAAGAGATATCACCACGGGTAAATAATCCTCACAGAACACTCCAGATAATCAGTAGTTTGATAGTATATTTTAACTCAAATTATAGGTTGCTGGTATTGTCACACGACTCACACGTAATGATTTAGCTCGATATAAAGTAATTAGACACATGGGTAAAATCAGTGTTACTGAACTTCAGTTCTACTTATTTTAAGTAATACAATTTTTTTGAATAATTAAGCTATTGCTATTTTAATTGTATTCATTAAAATTACTTTAAAAAAATTAGGATGTTATATGTTGTACTTTTTTTGTTTTTTTTTGATGCCATATTTACCAAGATTAATTTAGCAAAATAATTATACAATAATCATCATCATTTATTATTTAGTTGCATTGTTAATATTGGGTACTTTTCTATTTTAATGTAAATATAACTAAAGAAATAATGTACCTCATAAACAAACTTTTTTTATTAAAACTTTGAACTTCAACATGCTTAAACTTGTTAGTTGCTGCAAATCAATTTAAATACAGGACCTCCGGCTTTTAATTTGAGGCATATACCATAATTATGTCACTRCTATTAGATGATTATCAATAAACAATAAACTTTTCTTCCTGCTAGGTAAAATCTTTTACAGCAAGACTTTTTTATTTCAATAGCTATTCCAATATTATATGGAAATTTGTTCAAACTATATTCAAGAATGTGGTATCATTTATTAAGATTTTGAAACAGATATTACAATTAACTTTTAAAGAATTAAAGATGATGCATAAATAATTTTTATAAAATTAACAAGATACAGTAGAACTTCGATTAACCCATCAGTCTTGGGACCAGAGCTTTGAACTAACCGAGGTTAGGTTAACCGAGCAACAAACATTTTTTAAATATACATACATATTTTTTTTTTTTTAATAATTATGACATGCATATTGATATAAATGGGTACTATTAGTTATTGGTAAATTATTATTAATATTTTTTAATTTATTAAAAAATTTGTATTATTTAAGTTTCAGATAAATTTATTCATAAATAATACAATAAGATTTTAACTGCAACGTGCAAGTATGGGGCCTGACGGTCAACCAAGAAGGACGATTAATCAGGATAGGGATAATCAAGGTTCTACTGTACTACAATATTTATAGTATAATTTATCACCAAAATATAATTATTAACTGTACTTCCATAAAATATTCTTGTTTTATCATAAATTTGGATGTGTTAATCTTTATTGTTTATTTAATAGTACCTAATAAACACATTAATAAACTAAATATTACAAGGTTAAAATGAAGTGCCAACTTAATTTTTTTTTTTACTTACTACAAAATTAAATGAGAAATTTAATAATTTAATAAAATTGATACTTTTTAATCAATTGATTAAAAATATCTTTGTTGTGATATTTAATTGAATAAAATCATATTATATATGACTATATAAATACACAAAATCCACACTATGTATAATATATATAAATAAATAACGCAAATAAAAATTATAATACTATAATAATAAGATGACAATATTTATCCAAAAGAAACAATAAAAAGACTTTTATCTTGCATATTTAGGATGATGGTTATTCTCAAACAATATATTATGAAAACTTAATTTTTTTAATAGATAAAAATAATATGAGAACTTTTGATAAGTTCTATAACGGTTTGACCTAAAAATTTAAGTTAAAATTATAGTTATTGGCTTGGAGTCTGTTCTTTTATTCAGCTTGTCTGAGACGAGCTAAGCGTTGAGTAAGCTCATCTTGTTCTGTTGTAGTAGAAGATAAAGAACTGATACTTTGAGGATTAGTAGGAAGTTCTAATTTTAGTTCCAATCTAAAAAATATGATTATGATATAAAATATTTAAACACAACACGCATGTATATTGTATATATGTGTTTGAGATATATATAAATTGTTTACCCAGCTTCGTCGGCAACTTGTTGCAACAAATTTTCAACATCCCCTTGAGGTACAGCAGTAGTAGTACTTTGAGACATGGTATTATCCATGTAAGAACTTTGTACATCTAAATCTTCAAATTGGTTTTCAAATTTGTCCATCAATGAAGAAATTTTTTCAAGATTCATTGATTTCATTGCTGCATCCATTGCTTTAACAACACCTCCCATACTTTGAGTTACCTAAATATTTAAATATTGATTAAAGGCTAATAAATTAAAAATTTGAAACATAGTATTTTATTTTATTTTTGATAAGTTTATATTTTTCAACTCAATTTAATTTCATTACCATTCCATTATGCATCACTTCATAAAAAATAAAACTAATTTTTTATAAGGGCTATTATTTTGTTTAAACTGTTTATAAGAGTTTCAAAATTAGCCAATGTTAGTAATAAATGTTGTAAGATTTTGTTATACATATTATTACGTAGAAGCAATAACTATTCAATAAGCAGCTTTAATTAAACAATTAATTTAATTTGTATTTATAAATCAATACCTAACAAATATCTATTTGTAAGATATGCTATTAATTGATATATTGAAATAAACATTTTTTTTTWAATATTTTCAAACATTTCAATACATTATAATTATAATGGTTCWATGATTGAAGTTAAAGAATTAGTACTTATGATACTTATAAATGACGTATTTTATTAGTGATTACAAACTCACTAAGATGTTACTGATGATGACTAAAGTCATTACATAWTATATTTTAAAACTCTTCAAAGTATCGTACAAGTTAAAGTCATCAATAAATAAAACAAAGTAATATACAAGGATTAATAACATTATTAGAGACATTGACCTTTTTTGGTTTTAAATAGTATATAAAAATGAAATCAATGGAATACGTAAAATATTTCTAAAAATAAATTATTTGTTTTTAGACATAAATAGTGTTAAGTTATTTAGGGTTGTTCTCATAACGTCTGGTAAAGTGTCCATTAACGCTAACTAGTGGTTAGTCTAATATTTAACAGTCAGTTCTTATCGACACCAGTTTAACAACACCATTTAAAGTKATTCCARTTCAATTAATAAAAAACTAGATTACTACCTTAGATAATAATAATATGACCATTTAAAAATATTGTTCACTTTAAGCACAATGGCCTATTTTGCCGAAGTATAGTTGTTCTTATTTTTAATTATGTAGTACAAAAGCTTTATAAAATAATTTTTTTAATGGTAGTACATTCATWTCATTGTATTAGTATATGGTATGGTACCTATCTGAGTGTTTCTTAAAAATATTTTTTTTAATGGGTCAATACATAGATGTTTCATATGTACTTCCATTTAGTTTAGTAAGTAGAAATAACTACTATAATAATGATGAATTTGATATTTCACAAACAAGACTTTAGAAAAGTAAGTTATATTTTATAGTTTGACATAAATGATCTATAATTAAAATTCACTTCTTTTAGATAATTAAGTAACAAAAAATTAAGGCACAGTAAACCCATTCCCATTAAACAGTACATACATATCAATGCACCACAATAAAAAACCTTAACCTGACAATAGGTGGTTTAATGGTTAGAGTAGTCTGGTCCTCCAAGGTTGGGGGTTGAATGCAGGGCATTATTATGACACAATCACTAAATAAAAGATTGTGATGACAGAAAAACTTTTTAAAAATATTAAATAAATGTCAGCAGAAGTAGAAATAAGACAAGAATTGAAAAATTTACAAAAAATCATTAATATTTGAGATAAAGCATTAAAAAAAATTTAAATTTTTAAAAATATCCATTTTAGTATAATTTTATCACATATTCTATATTAAGAGTTTCATATAATATATTACATAATCGTTAATTTTAACAAATCACAGTAAAAATTCTTAAATCATTTTTGAAGTGTATATATATATTATATATTATATGTGTTGTAAATACATATATTTTAAGCTTACCTTTCTAGTGGTAAGAGCTCCTTGAACTCTTGAAGCAACTGCATCTACTCTAGCACTCATACGTAAATAATTCAATGATTGACTTTTTTGTCTTATAGMATTTTCAGCATGTATGCGAGCAACCTAAAAATAATTAGTATACATTATTGTTTATTTAAATTTCAAACTAAATATATATATATTCAAATAAATCTAGACTTAACTTTCAATTATTTGTTATTCAATTTAGAAATTCATGGATTAGAATTATTTTTTTTTCTATTTGAAAAAAATGTGGCTTCAACAACTTAGGATATTAGCCTGACATTAATTTTTACATGATATTTTTCTTAAGATTAAATGTTACATAATATGTATACAGTATACAATTTGTAAGGTTACAATAATTTGAAGGAATTAAAGTAGAATTTTTATACAATAACATATTGTATTTGAATATACTTTCCAGTATTAATATTGTAATAATAGCAATAGTATTTAAAATTACTTTATTAGAATAGGTTTGTAAAAATATATGAAATGTTATATGTTAAAATTGAAAAATGTATCATAACAATATTTTGATAAAAATAATATAACCAAAGCTCACTAAACTATTTAGTTTGAGTATAATAATGACTGGATCGATGACAATTCAGCGCGGTCATTTTAGCGCACGAAAATTCAGCGGTGATATTTAGCGCAAGACAAATCAGCATAAGACAAATCAACGTATACATTTCAGCGCAAGACAAGTCAGCGCGTCATGTTTATTAAAATATACCAAATTAATTAAACATATAATAAAATACCAAATTAAAATCATATTAAAAATATCATTAAATATTGCTAAACGTTAAATACCTACATATTACATTATTTTAAAAATCACTTATTTAAATTAAAATTATGTTTAAAATTTAA